TCTTATTCTGGAGGAAAGTTTTCAGAAATTTCTAACTATCTGGAAGTGTCTGAAAGTAAGATGAATTCAACTGAATTAAATCAGCAAGCAAGTATGTTATATTTCTTGATTAATTTTTAAATTTTATCACAGGCGTAAAAACTAAATAGCAAATATTTCCGATTAGTTATTTTTCAGTAGCTATCGGAGTTCTTAATTACAGTATTAATTTAGAAACACAAATCCCGACCTTAAACTTTTATTATAACATTTAATTTTTTAATGCTTTCTCTAAAATGTGTATTTCGGGATGTATCTCTCTTATTACCATAGAGAGTTGTATGAATACGTTTTCTTCATGTGACATCCAACTGTGATTAGATATATTTTAAGCGTATAAATGAAAACTGCTATATTTTAACATTACATTGAAGAGGAATGATTTATAAATCTTTAAAATTTGATATACGATTTTCGTAGAATATTATTGCTGTTGAAATTAAAATAATAAAATTAACGAGCAATATCTTTTCGAAACTCATTCTAATGAGGGTTACCTTTACTAAAGTAATAGGATCTTACATTTTAATGTGTATATTCACATTAACAAAAAATTAAAATTAAAAATATGGTTACTTAGCTCTAATAAAAATAAACGTTTTATTGATATCGGTTCTAAATCAACTATTGTTTTACGGGCATAGTATTTCTTGATTTTAAAAGATGAAACGTGCACCTTTCCTTACCGAATTGAGTTATTGAACTGAATAATACAAAATACATAGTTCTATTTTTTGTGAACGTTTCGCGTCGATATTTAGTTTAAAAATGGTTTATTTAACAGTGCCAATGAAGAATATCATAATAAATCAAAAAGAAATTTTTTAAAAAATCTCTTCTTAAAGCAAAAGGAGGCTGTATATTTTATTGTCTTTTTTATGTATGTATTTATTGTAGATATGTATGTATGTGTTTTTGTAAATTTTTCCGCAATATGCATATACATACACACACATTTATAAATACATCTATAATCTTTTTGTGCATACAAGCATTTTGTAAATATGTCATTTATGATTGCTTCGGAGGAATTAACTTTATGTTTGAAAATTATTAATTATTCATTTAAATACAAATTTTATACATTAGCTTTTTGGGATTCGAAGAATGTATGCACTGTTCTACATAATTTTTATGCATATGCTATTCTTTTTCTTTTTTGAAATATGCGATTTTAATGTATACCATTACAAATTTTAAACTTCTTTTAGTTAAAAGATTTTAATAGTTTTAACACATTCCCCTTAAGTATTAACATTTTCTAATTTCAGTCTGCAAACGTTTTACATTTTCTTGCCTAGGAAATAATCCTAAATAGAAAATTAATATTCATATTTTATGTACTTTATTCTAAATTTTCTACTTATGATTATTTCCTAGGGAAAAATTCATATACAGATATATATATATATATATATATATATATATATATATATATATAGATAGATAGATAGATAGACAGATATAGCTAGATAGATAAATTTAATTATTAATTTTCTGTTTATGGCTATTTCCTAGAAAAAATATATGTGGTGTGGGCGTGTGTGATACCATTAATCATATCCACTATTAGAAGACACATAATAAGATTTGGACATTTTGGTTTCTTCATATACTTAAATATGAGTATTTGCATTTATCTATATATCTTTATTTTTAATTTTAATATAGTTTACATTGTAACTAGAGATTTATGCACCTCTAACTCACGTATGCCAAAAACATATACCTTCTCTTTCCAACTGATTTTATTTTTATACCAACTAATTTTTATCCAATTTATTATTTCAAAATTTTGAACTGATACTTATATGACTTAAAACGCTAACAATTACTTTTGTCTTCATTTAGATTGCAAATGCATTAACGGAAAGTGCGTTCTGAATGAAAACGGTGAAAACGTCTGTAAATGCCCGCCGGAATTCAGTCACTATACACCAACAGAGTGCAAAGGTATGAGCAATGATTTCTTTATTAGCGGATTAAGGTAACCTAAAATAAACCGATTTCAAAAGCGAGTGTGAAGTCCCAGTTCCGTTTGCCTTCATAATATCCCCTTAAACTTTATAAATTGCTTTGATATCTGTTTAACTTAGGCCAAACTGTATGTAATTGCTAGCATTAAGGTCCCGCCCAAGTGGGATAGCGGTTAGTGACTCTGACTACCATACCGAGAGGCCCAAGTTTGAATCCCGAGAAAGGCATGGATGTTTGTAAATTTATACTGTCTTTGCGGCATGGGGGCACTCTAAATATGTAGCTATCTGAAAAGTTTCTCGTGTGGTTTGGCCGTAAGGAAACATGGGTGGGAGATCCTTGTAGCCGCCCCCCCCGAGCTGATGTCCCTCGAAATTCGAGTGAAACTGGCCATAATCATACTCTCATCTATACGGTGCCCAAAGTTCTTGCCAATGGCAGGCGTATTCTTGACTTCTTTCCACGATGCACTTCGTGGGCTTGTTTTGATGATGTCAGACGAGAGAGATAAGTCACAACAACAGCAATATCAGCAATATATTTCCAGTCCAGCTGTTGAATCATAAATACTGAATGGAAGATCTGTTCTGTGGGTTCGATAATTTTATTTTTCATACATAAAGATATTTTCACATAAAAAATACCATGCATACCGAAAGCGGCTGCGCCAGGGTGACCTTCGTCACGGAATAAAATTCTTCTTTGTTCTAGTAGACAAATATATCATTTAAATAAATAAAAACATAAACATAAATATGTACCAGAGGGACTCAACAGTCGTAATATCGTCTGCAATGCAGATTATAGCTATCCATTGAAAAGAGAAACCCTCTGGTAGTCTCTGTCGATATGATAGCATTCTTCTAAATCTGTCTTCACGAATGTTAGAATGGTTAGCGTAAACAGAGGGTTTCTTATGCCATTATGTCTAGGGTTATATCCCGTGTAAGTATATTTTGGACGCATAAAGGCAATTTAAATCTAGCGTATTCCGTTCAAAATATTAATCGTAGAGAAAAGTGGTCAAAGAAATTTTTGGTTTTCCATTCTGCGAGGACTTTTGTTCTGCCGATTATGTATATTCCATACACAAATAAGCCATACCGAACTAACAGTTCAGCAGAGCATACCAACTAAAGTACGCAGATACGCAGCGTAAGTACTGCTTTCGCTCATCAGTACTGACAGAATTTAAATACTCATTTCTCTCAGTACTACAACTCCTAGCAACAAAACGGCCGCTTGACACAGGTATATTTCCTCTAAATCATCAAGGATTCAGACCTGTAAAATTTCAGTTCACAGATCTAGTAGCTCTCCACAAACTGCAATTCAGGACACTAGTAAGAAATTTACAGCAAGAAAGGCTCATTCCAGGATTTTCTGTTCCTACAGCATCTATCCTTAATAAAATACAGCTTTAAAAAAATTTTTAAACAATACGTTTAGTTGAAAATAATATGACATCTAATGAACTCAAAACAGAAAAGTAATTTATCATACAGTTTTATGGAAACGAGAGATTAAATAAATCTCTTTAAAAATTCATATACAATTTTATAACACAAGTAATGAAAGCTTGCTAATTAGATGTAAATAATTACTTATTAGGAATATATTTAAGGAATTATTTATTAGTATGAACGACGTATTTCATAATAATTAATTAATTTATTAACTGTGTTATAAAATTTCAGATGAATTCCGTAAAAATAGGTATTTAATATTCTACTTCCGTTAACCATATGATATTTTTTTTTTTTTTTTTTTTTTTTTGCTTTTTTTACTAATTATCATATTTATTTAAAATTAAAGCATTTTTTTGGAAAACCTTTTCTTACGTTTTAGTCTCAGCTACATGTTAACAATAAAAATGCAATTAAATAATTAATTTTTCATGATGTATAATGGTTCCACACGTTTAGAATAATCATTTTATCTTTAGTCAAAGTGAAGAAAGAGAAAGTCAATCAACATGCAATGAAAAACAAAATGCTAATAAAAACTTCGCTGAAAATAGAACATTCTGATACTCTTGAAGATAATAAAACTACTGCAAATGTACCTGAATTTAAGAATGACAATGGCTTATTAAACGATCCAAAAACATAAAATTACATCCCACGACAAAATTAAGAAAATCAGACTTTTAGTATGAAATGCTGAGAAAAAAGTACGTAAACATGTAATACGTAAAAAATGAAAAATGGTAGAATAGACTTTTATTCCCTGTAATTGTAGAAGCCTATTAAATGTTAAATTGCATGTTTTTATTACATTTACGTTTATAATTACGAAGACATTTGTCTATATATATATGAAAAAGCCATTACAGTCATGACATCATAGCCTTGTCTTGAAAGTAATATGTCTTCTAGCCGCAATGGCCGGTACAACTGGTCCCATCTCCTTCTACTTGAGAAGGTAACATATTTTTAAAGAAATGTAGAAAAATCGCTCTGTTGCTATTTGTTATAATTCTTGAAGAAAACAAAAAAGTTCTAAAAGAATGCAAGAGGTATTTCTCCACTTTGTTAGATACTGCAAACAGTAAGATTCTTATACGCTTTTCCTGTTCGTTAAATGAAGATATGTGCGAAAATTCGTTTCAACATTAACTTTTAAATTAGGCTTTAAAAAGCATATTTTGGTAAACTTGCATCACCACATTGTATCTTCATTCGACCACTAGTGTGTGTATCAACTTTGAACTCGATAGCTATCAGAAAGTAGAATAAAAATCATTGACAAAATCCTGTCACAGTGAAAAATCACGAAACAAGAAAATAAAAGCTTGTAAAAATATACCAGCAACATAATGTACATCGTACTACTCACTCCTCTGTCTTTCAATAGAACTTAGTTATATTTACTGATACAGTCACTTACTTTCTAAAAGAAAAAGTACGCCCAATGAAAACAACTTCCATCTACATCGTCGAAGTGTACACATAGGCATAACATTATGTGAACTGGGAATTAACTTGTGTATCAAGGCATACCTCGGAATATTAGAAGCCTTCTGTAGCCTTCTGTGGGGATCTTCAGAAAATGACGTAAACGCTATCTTACTGAGAGAGCGAAAATCTGATGAAGCCTTCCTGAACAATAGCAGAGTAATATTCTATATTCTAACCACACATAATGGCTATAAAGAGAAAAATTTTTATTTTGGTAGAAGTGCTGGATTCAATAAATTTGCACAAATGCATTTCAATAACCCTACAAGCTCCGATCAAGATTTTCGGAAATGAGGACTGGTGTCCACTCAAAACATCGCAGCAAAACCATCGCGAAAAGAAACGTCACGTGGAAAATAACGGAAGGTGAAAACGTCGTCGAACAAAATATCGCGGGGAAAAGAAAGCAAGGAGAAAACATGCAATTCTAAAACATCCATTTATTAAACATAATAGCCGAAAATAAAGCTGTTCGGAAACATTGCAGTTTTTAAGTTAGATTACAAAATATCTTGGAAAAAAGTAAAGCATTAACTATTTATAGGAAGAAATGAGTAAAAACCATCAAAGAATGAGGAATATGTTTAAGAAAGGGAAAGACAAAAAATTTTAATTTGAGTAACCTTATAAAGTTGCTCATATTTCCTTTTTTAATCTTTTAGGACTACATTTTTTTCATGAAAAAATACCAGTACAATTTTGCAAAAGAGATTTATTAAATTATGGCCTTTACTACTTATCTGCGCAAGTGTAAATAATATATTAACTGCAATGCGTAATATTAACTGTCTATTCATTTTCAGTTTTTAAATGTTTAAGTTTCCTTCTTGCTTTTTTAGCAAAAAGCCATTACTTGATTAAAACAATGCGAAGTATGGAGGATAAAAATATTAATTCCGTTTCGCTCTCACACGTTGTTATGGAAGTATACACATATACGACATTAAACCCTGAAAAATACATATTTGAGATGCTATCGTCGTTCGATGATTTCTAGATGCTTTAATTTTGCCACGATGTTTTGCATGACGAATTTTCGCCTTGCGTTGTTTTCTGTACGATGATTTGCCTGAAACCATGACAGCCAAAACGTAGACTAGAAATACATTTATGGACTCTAATTCTGACAAAGATCAGTAGGAACTGCGGGATATTCGTTACGTAACTGGAGCTATTCGTAAACAGTGTGTCTTTCTTACGAGTAATTTCCGAATTTTAGGATATGTGTGTAAAAGACTGCTCATTGAGACAAAATTTTATCCTGCTTAGACATAAGCAGGGCTTAAGCAGCATTGCTCATGAATTTATTTTATTTGAATTGTTTCCCTCTTTGCTTTTATCTTTGTATTTTCATTCTATACTCGCTTTTATAAAAAATGTATTTTCCGCCCCTTTTAAAATTGCACACTATTGACAAATGTAGCATAAATACAATCATTATTTTTTGCATTATCAGGTAGTATTGTACTGTTAGTACTCTTATTTCGTTAATCAATATCACTGTAATTATTCGATTTTATTCACAATATTCATTTAGTATCTTGCTTATTTAACTAATGTTAACTGGTTCAGGCAACATTGCTCATTAAAAGTTTTCCTATAGAGTTTCTTGAATGCGTTGTAGACGCATTATCAACTGCTTCAATACATAGTATAAACTAATATAATCACTGTACACATGTTACAATGCATTAATGTCTGTCTTCTATAAAATGTCATTTTGAGCGTCTTTGCTTATAGTAAACACTCGTGTCTTGACCGGAAATCCTGAAATTACCTGAGCAGGCTTCCGACTCAGAGTATTACATAATCTACACAAATAATAAATCTGCAGCATATTAGTCTTTGGCTAAGGCCTGGGGCATCTGTATTGTATACCTGTCTGTCATCCTCGGCCCGAGTTAGGCAGATCTTAGATTCCACTGCTGATGGATTAGGATGGCTACAAACTCAGACGCTGGTTATCTGTCCTGCCAGCGGGATAAATGAGGATCCTCAGATTACCTTCTTATCTAGTCATTTTCTGTATATGTATATTACATTTCTATTGTCAGCAGATATGTATTAAGCACTATATTTCATTTTTCTTTAAGAGTTTACGTTATAGAATACATTTACATTACAGAATTTACATTTTATCCTATTGATATCTTTATGATTTCATTCACAAAATGAGTTTTGTATCTGCGCATGTCACTAACATTGTATATAAAACAAATCTGATTCGTTGTTTAAAAAATAATGAAAACTGATTTGTTTTCTCAAAAATATTGTGAAAACTTTTGTATGTTGTATATTTTTTGTTATATCTTCTTCATCGTCCATTTATTGTTTATTATTTATTTATTAGTATGTACATTTTTTCCTTTGTATATCCGCATATATTTATTGTAACAATCTCAACTGTAGTGTACCATGAATATTTGCTTTTATTAATAACATAATTATTTTATTTTTCTCTGAGTACTCTATATTTGATTTTCTATAATATTTAATTTATTGGTGTATCACGTGTAGTTCATTTAATTTTTCTTGGAATGGTTTTCCGATTTACCTGCTTTTAAAGATAATGAAATCAATATTGACAAAATTGGTTTTTATAGCAAAATTATTTATCAAAATTATAAATATGTTATAAGTTTAGAATATTATATGAATTTAGAAGTTATGGAAATAAACAAATTTTAATAAAATCAGAAAAGTGACAGATAAAGAAATTTTAATAAAAGAGGAAATTTATTTTCGAGAATAAGTATGCAGATCTTTTAAGTTCTGAACTTACTGTCATACACTTTATATAGCTTAGAACTAATCCTTAATAAAATTAGCTATTCTTTTTCACGAGGCTCACATATGTTTAGATGTTAAACAGAAATTCCAGTTTTGTAAACGTTCATTATTGGATTTAAATAATTACATAATAGTCGAACCTATGCTATTACTATGATACTTTGACATTTTTCAAAGGGTTCTGTATGATGCTTCATTGGAACTTCGAAGTTATTTCCTTAACAAAGATTACCTGAAACTTGGAAAAATATCATTCATCTTTCGATACCTAATAATGCTTTGAATGATTCAGCCTTGTGCGTGAATTGCTGGAAAGGGAGAGATTACTGATAAACAAACCTTTAGTTCTGAGAAAGGAGAGGAGAGAGCATTTAAACAAAAATATGGATTATGCTGCTCAAATTTGCACCTGTTCTTTTATGTGTCAGTGAAATCAAAGAAATATAAAAGCACGAAGTAAAAATTACTAAGCTACTTCTTTTCCGATTTTAAGAACCTATACGAAAGTAAACTTCTACTTTTTGTAACATATACTTAATTTGAAATGTTTCCAAAAGATATATTATTGAATGTATAATATTACATCTTGAAGAGCAAAGCTGATATGCTTTTTTCATATATTATATTAGCTAAGCCTTTAGAGAGATTTTGGCAGCAACTTCGAAGACATTTGGGTTTCGTCACGACGGATCAAATATATTTAATATTCGAAAATAGAACTCAGTAGATCCATTTAGTTCTACCAAATCACCGTATTAAATGTTATGACGAAAAGAGGCAGTCATAGATCAAAGTGCTCAGACTTTAGCAATATAAAAAAAATGTAGCTGCTGAATTTATCTCAGTTGCAAATTAGGAACAAATGGAAAAAGAGAATCCTATTAAAGATCCTAACAAACTTATGTAAAACATCGGAATAAATTACTTTAAAGAAGTATTTAAGATCATTTGAAAAAAAATTAGAAAAATACGTAATTATGAGAACATGATGCTAATTTTCATTTACAAAAATTTTTCTTGTTTTTAATTGAAAGACAGACTCATAAGCGTAAGCGTTATATAATACATTTTTTCCATCGAGAATATTGTAGACCTCAAAGCAGCAGCATGATGTTTAATCAGTTATGCCAAAGAGCGGAAGAACTAGCCGTCTAAGAAAACAGGATGATCTCGTAAAGTCTTCTAAAAGAACTTAACTGATATTCAGGATACACCGGGGGAAAGCAACGAAATACTTAAGTAGCCAGTGTCTGCTGGGGTTGGAGTTAAGCCCATCAGCTGCCTTATACATTCGGAAATTAAGGAACTATATTTTTCAACATAGATTATGTCACAGATGTATTGTGTTCATTATTAGGTTCGATTCAATATTATTCAAGAGATCAACTTTCTTTTTAATATTACTTATCTATAAATAATAAATTACCTAAACGTATACAGAAAAAAAACTGCTAGAAATAAGTAATTGAAAAGTTTGCCGAAAGCAATGACAAGAAAGGAACATTACCTTTGATTTCCTGCTCCAGAGCGGAGGTGACCTGGGAAGATTTTAGATGCGCTTTCTTTAACCACAAGATCCAGGAATTTACGGGACAACTGCCCATTGAAAAGACCGCTATTTTCATCAACTTCAGTGCCATGCGAGATAAAGCCTTAACAAGCGTCCCTTATGAAAGAAGAAATACAGTTTAGCACTTTCAGAGTAAAGTACAGTCTTCCTTCATCAGAGGTCTTTCTGCTGATACCAAGAAAGAGGATATTCAATGTTAAAAATTAAGCAATTCACCAGGAAAACTTCTGTGAAAGAAGAGAAACTTCCGTGGAAGAAAAGAAACTCCTTATTTTCATCGTGTCCCTAAGCCTCACTGTTCAGAAAAATCTTATACTCTCAAATGTATTCAGAGGCTGTACGTTAAGACTTTACCATCAGGGTAATCGCCTTGTTATGTGTTTCAGATATCAACGTTATGTACATAGTCAAATTTTTTGTAACAACAAACCTAGGTCCCACAAGTGTTGTGAAGATCACCTAACCTACACTTGTCAGCTACCTAAAGACACGAATCTCACTTATGTGAGATGCAAATCACAACACATTGCTTCTCACAAAGACTGTGTTTTTTCCAAAAATGCGAAAATCTGCATCTTCGAAGAAACCAGGTCTGACTAAGATTGAAGAAAGCTCCTATGCTGTTCAAAATAATAAGAATCTGCAGCCGGGTGTTATCGTACCGCCGCCGAAATTATCCTCTTCCGTAACGCGCAAAGAGCTTTGTAAAGACATTAAATATTTTGGAAGCAGGAAGCAACGCCTTCGCTGGTGAGCGAAGCGCGGACCTCTGGAATACGCGCCCAGCGTGCAGACCACCTCACCTAGAAGGCATGACAAAAAGGTGGGAGAAATATCTTATAAAGTTTTTCTTGATAAAGATTTGTGAGACCTCATGTAAAAATTTTCAGTTTCTAAATTTAGGAGTTTGAAATCCCCTTTGCAGAAACAGAACTTTACGCTTTCGATATTGGAGATGTTTGATACTGAGAAAAATGAACATTCTTCTCTCCACGAATGATGAAGCAACGTGCACACCACGTGATGCAGCCCAAGAACGCACTGACGCTTTCTTGTACACCTCTTTTCTTCTCAGAACAGAATCTATATATTCGCGTACGCTTTACCAAGGGCATTCGTCTCGTCTCTCCAAAAATAAAGTGCATTCTTTTCTTCTTTCTTCTCACACGGAGAATTTCCTTCAGGTTTTCTTCAAGGTCAAGACCTTTAAGGGGCTCTCCCAGTGAACTTGGGGGCTGGCTGCATGGGCGTTTTCGTGGTTTTCCCCATGTGTAACGTGTATACGAGCCAGTTTCCCTTAGAAAGTCCTCCACGAAAGGCATCCCTCCCTTTAGGCAGATAGCCCTCGCGTGCTTTGCCATAATTAAATACACCACACCACCCTGTGAACTTGTAAGAGCAAGAAAAGTTATCTCTGCTAAATACCAGTATACCATTCAAAGTATCAAAATAAGAAAGAGATTAAAAGATTTACTTTCTTGATAGTTATCGGAATTTTGTATGCTAGTTTGTGTACGTGTTGTGTCCTCAGAAACTTAATTTTCTAATGTAGCTTATTAAAGCCCCTCTGGCGCTACCTAAGCAACTTTATAATCCGTATCCTTATCATTAGATAAGAAGTTTAAAGTCTATAATAAAAGTGTATTGTTTCTGTTTTGCAGAATGTGATTGCGGGGAAGAATCAAGTTGCACGTTTTCAAAGGGTACCTATAAGAGGAAAACATGCGTTTGTAAGGAAGGCTACTGGTTAAGAGGCTCAAAATGCAAAAGTAAGCTTCTTTTTTTAAAATGTATAAAATGTAGTAATTAAACATGATTTTGTTAATTTAGAGTTACGGACGCGTCTGTACATGCTGTGAAAACGATCTTTTAACGTCATATGAAAACGCATACATTGCTTACACTAAAATCAGTCTTAGCCTGCCATAGATTCAAAAATCAAAATTACATTTGCTGGTGAAATAGAGGGATTTGTGTCTGATGTCCCTCTAAATTAATGACCTTTAATCCTTCTCGCGCGATAGCTGCATGAGCAAATTTACAAAGATCCGCGGGTAAAAGTGTGCCAAATAAGTAACGCATTTCTAAGAGGGAAGTTTACAAGACTATAATTATTTGAAAGGGACACATCGGGTTACCAACTTATGTAATCTTCAACAGTTTGTGTTTTTTGCTTAAAAAATAATTTCAGTGGAAGTCGAATCAATGTACTTTGTAACTTCGAATTTTTTTAAATTAAAAAACAGCAAGAAGATGGCATTATATATATAGTACATAATGATGCTACAAAATCAATTCACAGTAAAAAAACTAACATTAATGGCGGGATGGAAGTCATTTCAGTCTTAATGAGAAATTTCTAATTGCTGAACTAAAGTTTCGATATACGGTTCCGATTCGTTTCCTCCAAGATATCCTTCGTTGATCTTCAGACTTGTTCTTGTTTTTGTAATCTTTATTTCATTAAACAATTTTTAACACATGTAGATATTTCGATGTAGATACTATAGATAGAAAAACTGAGCAAACAATGTTTTCGTATTCCTGGATATTTGTCTTCGGAAACACATTTCCAATAAAAAGTTATTAATCCAGAATTCTCAAAAAACTTCATTTTACTACATTACTGTCAGAAAATCATAAAAATGTATGATCAAATAGAGTTTTCCCTAGCAATTTAGATCATTATGATGACAACAATATCGTCAAGAAATTCAAAATATCTTTACCACTTCTCATCGGGGAACTCGTAAATGGATTTCATTATGGATTCCATGACTTGATGAACTTCATCTTTCAATGAAAACAGACGCTGAAGCATCGTTCCTCATCTCAACCATCGTACTTCTGAGTAATGTACAATATTGGTAGGTTCAACTTCTAAATATATGTAGGAGACTTGAAATTACTTTTGATTAAATCCTCTAGATCTGATGAGATGAACTACAATAATATAATAATATAATGAATAGCATTCGCATGTTTAAAGATTCAAAAATAATTCATGCGCATATTTTCTTGGTCGATGATACAGTAAAAAGCCATCACGGTATTATTTAAACATGGCTTTGCATCATATTTGAATAATGTTATTACCTCTGTTTTCTGTCTGGTCACAGAAAGAGCACCGGCACTGATTATAGCAGATATATTGCTCAAGTCTAAACCGCATTACCCAAAGTTTTTGTTTCTGTCAGTCTCAAATACAAATCTGGTGCAAAGACGTTGGCTGATTCATCTCTAATCCTTACACTCCTGAAATTTATATCCACGCCACGAATATGAATGAATATTTGTACAGTAACCGTTGCATCCGCTGTGCAGTTTGTGCAGTATCTGTTGCCATTTATTCATCTACCGCTACAGAATGAAACAGAAATTCCTTTCATTTGGATTTTGACGCATTAAATACATATGTTGCCGTATCCTCACGTGTCTTGCTACTGTCACACCACCAGATGATAATTTTCGGAAACTTTTCAACTGTACACTGAATACATTCCTTTGAATCAATAAAAGAAACCTTATGTTTAGCAATATACGAGTATTTCAGGTATCATGAAGCTTTTTGGGATTTTAGGACTTCTTATTCGCTCTGATGATAACTGAGCTTTCATTTACTGATTTTGAAGGTTTGAAAACATCTTTCGGTTAATCTAGATTATGGTAACTTGGCGATTTTTGACGAAAATTTGGCGACCAACCCTGTTAAACAACCTGCTGTTTTTTTTTTTTTTTTTTCGACGCTACTTTGTTTTCACAAAGTAAAGGCATGTTTCATTCTCTTTTTTTTACACAACATTTTTTCCAACAATCTGATAGCCGAATTACGCTTATGCTAGAACTTTTATGGAGCAAAATTGCTTAATCATGACGAAGATTAGGTGCGAAATTGTTTCTAAGTTCTTATTAGCTAAAATCACGATCGGAATTTTCCGGAAAGTAGTGGAACACACTTGCACAGAAATTTATTTTTACAGAGCAAATTTATATATGAAACATGTAAATAATTTTTTTCATAAATTAGAAAAATGTGCACGAAAATGCAGGAACATTTTGTTAATCTTTAAAGTCGGTAAAAAGGACATATATGAAATTACCTGATCGCGAAAAAGTATGTATACCTGATCGCGGAAAAGTATATACCCTTTCCAAGAATGAACATTTGCACGTATAAAATGAATAAAATATCCAAGAACTTTTCCCTCTAAATTATCCATTATAAAGGTCACCTGCAAATTTATAAGGCAAACATTAAAAATGGTTAGAATACTGAAATGTATTCCAAAATGCTACAAACGCATAATCCACAAAATCACTATCATTTAATTTAAATATAATTAAATTAAAAAACACTAGTTAAAATATAAATAAACATACACATTAAATTAATAAAAATTAGCTTAAAATCTTAGTTACTTTAAACTAATTTATTGCTAATAAAAATTTTCTAATAATAGCATATTAATTTATTTATTGCTTATATTTAGACCAATGCATAAATATAATCTCTTCAAATGATTAAAAATACTAACTTACCTAATCTTCTTCAGAATCTTGAGTGTATGGCGGATAAACGTTTTTTATGGATTCAACAAAATCATTGAATGATTTTTTCTGTGAGTTTTTCCGCCATACATGCTATGCTAAATAAAAAGCAAAATTCTGCTTATTATAATGCTTAGGAATAACACTTTTTATAGCACCCCATGTGCCCTCAATCGTATTCGTATGTGCGCCTGTTTCAGGATTTTTGAAATGATACTTATGGTTAACAGCAAGATGCTGAAAACCTTCATCCTCCAAGCAGGCATATGATTTCCAGCAATCAGATATTATTATTGTACCAGGTAGAATATACTGCTTAATGAAACATGAAACTTAATAAGCAATCTTTACTTCTATCTCGCACAACCTTAAAAAAACACTTATTACTTCCCTTTTCAATCCCACCGAATACCCATTTTCCTTCCACTCTCCTACCTCTCAGATACTTGGGTTTCCCAAACTTACTTTCAACAATTTCAACAATGACATCCATACCACCTGCTAATTTCTAAATCGGAAATACAGTAGTCAACTGGCAGTCGATTCACCCAGTAGTAAGAAATAAATAAAATTTCACCCATACTCAAACGACTTTCAGCAAACCAGGTACCCTTCCTTGCACTCCGCTTCACAAAATGTCCATTTTCACTAGATTTCTTGCACCGCCATTCAAACTTATCTGTAATATCCTTCCTTTCACGCAATCTCATTTCATTCTCACATGTTGGACATTTATACTTATCTGTAATTAATCCTACACTCAATGGTAATGCTACCATTCAAGCAACTCTTTTGGATGATCACATAAATGCAATAAAAATTTGAAATTTACTCTAGATAAGGCCATGGGATCCAAATATTAAGCAACACTGTTTCACACAAGATGGAATGAAGCTAAACATACAAAATGGTATAAAGTATTGCAGGTATTTTTGCAAAATTCCCCTCCCCTTTTTGGATTAAATTACTGTGATTCGTCCATAAATGTCACATAGCGTATCTCATGATCTCTGATTTCTCTCAGATAAAATAATCTGTAATTGGAACTGTGTTCTTCTCAGATTATTGCTAAAGTCCTAGCTGGTAACCTTTATCGCCTACCAAAATGTCGCCAAACTGCCTGTTACCATATTCCAAAGATTAGCCCATCTTTCTAATATGGAATATTTCCTAATGTGCTTAGTATCACGGCGCATCTTTATGTTATATTCTTTCCTCACAGCTACGCTCTCATTGCGAATAATGAAAACTGACTTACACTTCTGCTTAGCGAGAAAGAAAAGAGATGGCCATTTTTCTTGCAAAAATCCCAGTTTTTTTTCAATTTTTCTTTTTTTCCCCCACGACTTGCCATTGTGCAATCATTCGAAGACCAAAAACGCTTCTGATTTTCAGAATTTGAAACGAGCATAACTAACCTAGCTTAATCAAGTGTGTAAAATCTGCGTATCGCCAGCTGGTTACGATGTTTTCATCCAACTGTTCCTTTTCCAACAACTTGCAATGTTGGAAGAAATATCATTCAATTCTTTTTCCCCCTTCCCCTCCACACTTTTTGAAAAGATGCGTATGCAGATATGAGAAAGACCCTATATATCTAAAATATAATTTTTCTTATGATCTTTAAATGCTACAGGAGCAGAAAATGATTTTATGATTTTATCTATGTAGATATAAAAGTGAGAGGGATTGAAAATTCTTTTGGCTGCCCCTTGGGGGAAGAAAACAATAAATTTTTGCATAATTTTGTTTATTACTCAATTTTCAATGAATATTATTATATTGATGTGTTTTTGTTCTGTTCTTGTTAGTAGATTTATCACCATGTAAAATTTAATTTTTGTTTATTATCTCTTGATTATTTAATTTTCTTCGCAGCTTTTTGTAAGCCTTTAATAATTACTAACTTTCAGAAATATATAATTTATATTCTATAATTTCTGTCTCTTTCTCTATATATAAAGAGAGAGAAAGACAAAAGTAAGAAACTTAGAACCAGTTTGACGAAGAGCCAAAAGAAATAAAATTCATTACTAACAAATTTCAGAATACCATATAAAGATCCGAAATAAGAATTAAAGAAATGTGAAATACTAAAATCTCAGAATTTACAAAAATCATAAAAAACGTAAAAGAAGAGGGACTCAATCAAACGCGCTTTTTTATTGTAATGCTTTCGCTGCTAGTCTTTTTTTCGTAATTTGTAGTTAAATTGATTAAA